ATCGAGTGCCCACTGCTCGCCAGCCTTCTGGACCGGGTTGACCACCATTGAGCTTCTTGCTGTACAACGCTGTGCAAACCTCACCTGCATGAACTGACCCTCCTGATGATGCTGCTGCTATTAAACTGTTTAATCAGAGCCATTGCTCCACCTGTTTTTCCCCGTTTTGTATTCTAATATTTTATATTAATGCTGTTTGCTACCCGGTGTCGACCAGAGGAGGGTGGGTTCCCCTTCTGAGTCTTGGTTCCTCTCAAGGTTTCTTCCTCTTGCTCTTGCCCCGACGCTCATGGGAAGCTCGGACCCAGATTTTTTTGTGAAGCTGCTTTGTGATAACGCCTGTTGTAAAAATGCTACATGAGTAAACCTTGACTTAAGGTTGACTTTAGTGTGTTCTGTAGACCTTTGTGCATGTAAACTTTCTGCAGAGTCACAGAGCTCAAACTTTCCTCCAGAAGGAGAAACTCTCTCCCACAGAAACCACTTTTCTCAGCTGCTGCGTTTGAATTCCAGCCCTTTTCCTGTGTTACACGATGATGTCATCTCATAACACAGTCCTTACTGCCCGCCTACCAGCAAGCTCAGCATGCCCTCACACAGAGGGCTACAAAGTAAAAACTGACCAGTCTGAAACGTCCTGCTTCAGTCTAGCTCGAGAAGGTGGATCAGTTCTACTAGCTTGTTCTATACACTTAAAAAAGATGGTTCTGTAGTAAAGAAATTGATTCCATATAGAACCGTGAACAATCAAAGAACCCTTTGCATGATCAAATGGCTCTTTGCATCGTGAGTGCTGGAGAATGTGCTGTAGATGGTTCTGTATAGCACCAAAAGGGATTCTTCTATTGTAACAATGTCAAGCTTGTAACAACAGAAGAACGCTTTTGGTTGCTAAATAGAACCCTTTTCAAAAAGCTTCCATATAGAACCATCTACAGCACATTCTCCATCAGTCTGAAGAACCATTTCTAAGGCAAAGAACGCTTTAACCATGCAAAGTGTTCATGGTTCTGTATACAATCATTTTCTTTACTACAGAACCCTTGAAGAACCATCATTTTAAGAGTGTATCTGACTTTAAGGATGACATGCTGGTCAAACTGATACGGCAGAACCGACTCCATTGTAAGAACAGCCACAGCGGTGTAGGGGAGGAGCAGGATGTTGCTCTGGCAGTTAACCAATCAAAACAGACCAATCAGAGCACGCTGGGCTCATTGGGAGGTGGGGCTTAAAGGCACAGGAGCTCTAAAAGAGCGTTTCAGACAGAGGGTGAATAGAGGTGTACGGTATGAGGAAAATAATGTGTTTTTGGAACATTAAAGCATTTAAATCTGTTCAAACATTGAAAATGAGCATAATAGGTTTTGTGGGCTGGCTACAAGATTGTTCTCTCTGTGGTATCTAGGTAGACACAGCCAAGCTGCTCTACCATTGGTTAGGACTTCAGGAGCTGGACAGAAGGCCTTACACACTGGATTAACTACCTCCATAATTAGGCAGTGACAGAGGAATCACGCTTTGAATTTAATGAGAAAAACATCATTCCAGGCCTTCCGCACTCTCAGAAACATGGTAGTAAATTATCTCTGGGTCAGTTCCCCTCTTGTCTGGGGTGGTTCCCTCAAGGGTCCATCTCAGTCCCTTTAGTTAGGGAACATAACTGAACCATAATCCACTGAAATGATATGTTCTAAGCTGTACTGACTCCACACACCCCGTCTCGTCTCCAGGCTTTTATTTTATTGTTCTGTTTTAAAACATTCGGTTATGAAAAGGTACAAATATGAACTTTTCACCTGGAAAAACTTATTTAAGGTTCACAATCAGACCTTAAAACCACTGTTGGAGCTTTGAGGGAACATTTACACTGTTTGTATGTTGATGAATGAAAAATGTACCTGCACAGAACCTTTATTTCTAACAGTGTGGAGGTTCTAGATACATCACTGATGGTGAATATGAGCTGTATATGAACCAGGTTTTGTTTAGTTGATAGAAATGGAAATTATGTTGAATGGGATTTTCAGCAGCTCTCTGTAAACCCAACACTGGCATGGTAGGCGTCTTCTCTGACTGTACGCCAGCAAAGTGGAAGGGTATCTGCTAAAGCAGCTGGGGAACGTAGAGGTGTGTAGGTGTTTATAGCATGTCTGCTAACAAGCCCGAGGTCGATAAGGCACTCATCAATCTCCGAGCCCTGCCTCTGCTTTTAGACTTCACTATTCTTACTCTGCTCCTTTTCAAATATAGCACCACACTCCCGTTTCACACCTGTTAGAGGCGACCTTTGTGTCTTTGAAAGGACAGAACATTTCCTACCAACCCAGCCACTCAGACGTACTACAGCTAAGCACTGTGGGTAATCCAACACTGCATGTTAAGCACCGGAGATGGCAACAAATGAAGGTGTTTGAGAGTTTAATGGGGTTAACGCAAAAGGACACGACTTCATTACACTCTGACGGAGTCTTATTCACATGTGCATCACTCTCGAATGATCACGGACTCACTGAGGTGCATACAGCAGACAATGCACGCCACCAGTGATGACTCAAAGCTATTCCAAGCCATGGAGACACTTTTATAAGAATCTAGAACAGGTTTCAAGGCGTCTTCATCACCACAGCTTCAGCTATTCAAACTATTCAATACAGATAATTTCTCATTTCCCAACGGAAAGCAAACCATGAGAAGAAGATCCTTAAGAAGGTGGACTTTTTCATATGAGCACTGTGTCAGCATATATTATTGCCCTGCAAAATGTAAATAAAAACAAAAGGTAATGATATGCAAACATCCTATATGTATTTGAAAATAGTGCAAAGACAACATATCTAATGATGAAACTGAGAAATTGTATTTATTTATTTATTTATTTATTTTTTTTTATAAAATAGATGCAACATGTTTCCAGAAAGTTGGGACAAGGGCAAAGGACTGATAAATTTGTGTCATGAACCAAAATGAACCCTTTTTTTTAGCCAACTGTGTCTGAACACATCAGAATTAGACCTCCGCATTTAACCCATCCGTGCAGTGAAACTCCACATACACACCAGTGAACACACACACACTAGGGGGCAGTGAGCACACTTGCCCAGAGCAGTGGGCAGCCCTATCCACGGCACCCGGGGAGCAGTTGAGGGTTGGGTGCCTTGCTCAAGGGCATTTCAGTCACATACTGTCGGCTGAGGGGATCGAACCGGAGACCTTCCGGTCACAAGGCTGGTTCCCTAACCTCCCTGCCCACAACTGCCCCCACATGCTCAAAATACTTAAAATGCTTAAAAGAACAACTGGTAGAACATCACACAACTAATTAGCTTAATTGGCAACTGGTTAGTAACATGATCAAGAACAAAAAGAGCATCTCAGAGAGGCTTTCAGAAGTAAAGATGGGGACAGACTGCATGGACAACAGTTATTGTTTCTTAACATAAAATATCAAAGAACTGCTGGCATCAAATTAAAAATGGACATATATTGTTCAAAAAACAATAAAATTTCTCAGGTTCAACATTTGAAATGTTGTCTTTGTAATGTTTTCGATTAAATGTAGGGTTTAAATGATCCGCACATCATTGCATTCTGTTTTTATTTACATTTTGCAGGAGTCCTAAATGTCGTGGAAATGGGGTTGTATTATGGGACATAGTGTTATATGAGAGTGTTAGGTATTATTGGACAGTGTGTTAGTTATCATAAGAGGGTTAGGTATTATTGGACAGTGTGTTAGTTATCATAAGAGGGTTAGGTATTATTGGACAGTGTGTTAGTTATCATAAGAGGGTTAGGTATTATTGGACAGTGTGTTAGGTAGTATAACAGTGTTAGGTATTAAAGGAGAATGTGTTAGGTATGATAAGAGTGTTAGGTATTAAAAGAGAGTGTGTTAGGTATGCCCTGCGATGGACTGGCGACCTGTCCAGGGTGTATCCTGCCTTCCGCCCAGTGACAGCTGGGATAGGCTCCAGCACCCCACCGTGACCCAGAAGGATAAGCGGTTTAGATGATGTATGTATGTATGTACGTATGTATGTGTTAGGTGTCATAAGAGTGTTAGATATTAAAAGAGAGTGTGTTAGGTATTGTAAGAGTGTTAGGTGGTATAAGAGTGTTAGGTATTATAGGACAGTGTGGTAGTTATCATAAGAGTGTTAGGTATTATTGGACAGTGTGTTAGGTATTATATGAGTGTTAGGTATTATAGTACAGTGTGTTAAGTAGTATAAGAGTGTTAGATGTTACAGGACAGTGTTAGGTAGTATAAGAGTGTTAGGTATTAAAGGAGCGTGTGTTAGGTATTAAAAGAGAGTGTGTTGGGTGGTATAAGAGTGTTAGGTATTATAGGACAGAGTGTAAGGTAGTATAAGAGTGTTATTAAAAGAGGTGTTATAGGAGGGTTAAGTATTATAGGACAGAGTGTTAGGTATCATAAGAGTGTTAGGTATTAAAAGAGAGTCTGTTAGGTATCGTAAGAGTGTTAGGTATTAAAAGAGAGTGTGTTAGGTATTATATGAGTGTTAGGTACTATAGTACAGTCTGTATTGTGAACAAATGTGTTAATTATTACAAGACACTGTGTTAATATCATAGGACAGTGTGTTAGGCACTGTAAGACATTGTGTTAGGTATTACAGGGCAGCGTGTTTGGTATTAAGGCAACGTGTTACATACAGTTTGTGTGTAGTTCAAGTCCGGTGTTTACAGTATTTCCTTTTTGTTTATTCATTAAGAATCCACCAGTAAACATGAGCAGAAACGGGATAAATCCACAATTGCACTGTAAATGTTCCTGATGTCATATCTGATCTGAATCCACCGTATTTGCACTGGAACAGTCTTGTGTAAGTTAGATGTGGTCCAGTTCTGAAGCAGCAGCTGCTCACATTGACCCTCGCTACGGCCACTCTGAGTGCCGCAATCACCACTAAACTTCCACAGAAACTCCAAAATAGCACAAAAGTGACGCTAGAACTAATCAGGTGTGCACTCACCTCTCTGCTGAGCACCTCCGCATCGCCATAGCAACGCCAGGAGCGCCAGGACGCACCAGCGGCCATTCATTTTCACTCCAGTGCTGCTGCTGTTCCTGCTTCTTTACTTTCTCCGTGCAAAAGTGACTTTGAGAAACTTGAGCTAGCGCGCTCTCCCTCTCTCTCCCTCTCCCTCTCTCTCCCTCTCCCTCTCTCCCTCTCTCTCTCCTCCCCCTGTCCTATCCCTGGGGTGCGGGGGTTGGGGGGGTGGACGTTCCAGATTGGATCACTGCACATACACACACACACATACACACACGCACATACACACACACACACACATTCACACACACACACACAAACACACACACACACACAAACCAGTGCAATGCAATTATGATTTTTCATGAAATACAAATATTTGTGGACAAATTAATGACCAGTAACGAGAGCAAAGCTTCTGAGTTATGACTCTGCTACTTTGTAATAATGTTATAATATAATCTGACTTCTCTAAAATCGGAAAATCTAATGTACCCGTCAGTTTCACACGAATACAGTATCTCACATTAATAAAGCTACTGCTGAAAGTACCGCAAAGAGTCCTTCTAACTGTATTTTACAGCATATAAACTGATTTTAGATCCATTTTTGATTTATTCCTCATATTCAGCTGTTTATTTGAGCAGTAAGTGTGTATATAAGTACAATAAACATGAACACAGAAGCCTGTAGTCAGAATGTGTTGTTTGTCCGTAAAGTTATGAATATGTACAATCTTAAAAACGGTTCTTCAAGGGTTTTTAGTAAGGAGAATGGTTCTATATAGGACCATGAACACTCAAAGAACCCTTTCCATGATTAAAGGAAGACGGTTCTATATGGCATTTTTTCTATTGTGACAAGCTTTACATCGTAACAATAGCAGTGGTTTTGGTGCTAAATCTTTTTCAAAAAGGTTCCATATAGAACCATATACAACACATTTCCAGTAATCTGAAGAACAACATAAACTGTATTAAAATACACAATGTTTTAGATAATTATTCAAGATATTATTAATAATAATCGACATAAACAAGTATTCCACTACGAACCGTGGTTCCTTTAGAGTGCGGTATCGTTGCCAATCAACCATGGAACGCTGAATAAGAAGAACGTTCGGTCACCAATCACTGTATATTGAATGAATATCATGAATTTTTCACATTTTTATGTTTTTCTTTTAGTTTTTTAACGGTGTCTATCTATCTATCTATCTATCTATCTATCTATCTATCTATCTATCTATCTATCTATCTACCTGTCTGTCTGTCTATCTATCTACCTGTCTGTCTGTCTATCTATCTATCTATCTATCTATCTATCTATCTACCTGTCTGTCTGTCTATCTATCTATCTATCTATCTGTCTATCTGTCTGTCTGTCTGTCTGTCTGTCTGTCTGTCTGTCTGTCTGTCTATCTATCTATCTATCTATCTATCTATCTATCTATCTATCCATCTATCCATCTACCTGTCTGTCTGTCTATCTATCTATCTATCTATCTATCTATCTATCTATCTATCTATCCATCTACCTGTCTGTCGTCTATCTATCTATCTATCTATCTATCTATCTATCTACCTGTCTGTCTGTCTATCTATCTATCTATCTATCTATCTATCTATCTATCTATCTATCTATCCATCTACCTGTCTGTCTGTCTGTCTATCTATCTATCTATCTATCTATCTATCTATCTATCTATCTATCTATCTATCTATCTAATAATGTCTGCATGTATTTATCTGTTCTTTATTAGAGAAATAAAAGTGCATTTTTTGAGAAAGTGCATTAAATATCATGTATACAGCTGTAAACAAACAGTCCGGGTGTCCCTGTTTAAAGTGCCTTTGTTGTTTATTTTCTAAGTGTGCTGATTTTACACATTTCATATTTTAGCTTTTACTTTTTCCCCAACGTGTTAAACTCAGCGAATAAATAAAATTGTGCACTAAATTTGCAGACAGTCATATTTAAGTGTCTCTGTAGAGGATGCGTTCACTTATTTTCAATCAACAAATGCATGTAATTTGACCAAAAACAGCATAGAAATTATAAAGTATTTGGCATAACAAGAACTTATATATCAGTATATTACAGACAGATTTCGTCACCTCTCTGAAATGAAACACCTGCTTAGTTGTTTCAGCCTTTTTTGTCTGTTAAGTTTAAAATGAGTCCAAATAAAGAAAGACTGAAGGGAAAATGTGGGTTAATTTGAAAAGTTTATTATCATTTTTACACATAAGTTAGTCCACATAAAGAGGAAGACGAGGTCGTTCTCACTGAGACCTGCGGGTTCAGAAGTCCACTGTGTTCCTGACTTGGTGGAAAAGTTATCTGAGGAACTTTCTGACCTCCTCTGCTCCCTCTAGTGTCAGACTGATCTGGGAGATCTACAGCTCAGCTGTCAGTCAGCAGGACGAGCGCAGACACTGGGCTTTAGAGTGTCAGGACACATCGGTACACAACACACAGAGTTCTGCTGGAGTGATAGTCCACCTACACTGTGCTGAGCAAACATACGGACACAAGCAGTGATCAAGGAAGTTTCAGAGATACTTTAGCGGCAACCAGTTTCCAGAGTGTCAGGGTTACTCTGACTCTGGTGTCTCTGAGCTCATAACACGGTTTAAGACTAATTTCAGACGCCTGGTTGATCTGGTGAACCTTCAGGAGCTTCTGAGTGGAGCGGTCAGGTGGATCTGACCAGAGCCTCAAACTACTGACAGGTTTAATGATTGTTTAATGAATATTTTTTAACTTTTTTGATCTGTTTATTTGAGATTTTCTGTAAAGTGATACTGTTTGTTTTCTTACTGTTATACTATTTTTCACTATTTTACTGTTTTTATTTACTATTTTTTATTTATTTATATATCAATATGTCATTGTTTTTAATTTTTTTAAATTATTTTTTATTTTTGTTTTTTTACTATTATTAACAAAATGCTTTATTAATCTAATATTGTCTTGTTTCACATTTTATAATTTTAGATATTTATTATATTATATTATATTATATTATATTATATTATATTATATTATATTATATTATATTATTACAATAATTCAATATTTGATATTAGGCCACAAATTACCATTGTAATTTAAAAATTAATGATATTTAAAATAAAAAAGTAAAAAACAATATGTAAATAATAATAGTAATAATAATAATAATAATAATAATAATAATAATAATAATACTTGTTTGTTTTGGAATATATATTTTAATTAATTAATTTCTAAAAGTAAAAAACATCAACACATATAAAAAACCTTTTTTTGTTGATATTTCTGTGAATATTTCTGCTCATTACTTCCAGAAAGAAAGTAGTGAAAGTTTGATGTTTATGTTTATGAAGTTGGAGCTGTTTGTCCTGCAGTGTAGCTGTCAGTCAGTCCAGCTAACGAGCCGAGCTCACCTGCCCAATTTAAACGTTCCGCTGAGGTGACCGAGCTGCTCACACTTCAGCTCATCATTCCAGATTAGAATACATTTGATCGTCACTGGGGAGTGAAAGTTGGAGGAGGGGAGGGGTCTCACTGAGGAGGACGGTGGGGGGTGAGGTCAGGGGTCCCTGGCTATGAGGGTTGGTATTTAAGGCTTTCATTGCGGTGATGTTTCTCCTGTTGGGAAGCTGAGATGGTTGAGGTCAGTAGCTGATCCTGGCCGCTGATGGACGACAGGTGATGGGTCTGAAGTCTCTGTCTCTGCGTCTCAGGTGAGACTCGAACACTCCCTGATTCTTTCTCTCCGCGCATCACTGTCTATTTCAGCACATCCGTCTGTCTGTCTGTCTGTCTGTCTGTCTGTCTGGTCATCTCAATCTCTCTGGACCTGATTTGATCTGTCTGTCCATCTGTTTATCCACAGTCAGAGAGCAGATTCATTTATTATCCATCCTTCTGTCTATCTATCCATTCATCCCTCTATCTATCCATCCATCTATTCATCCATATATCCATCCATCTATCCATCATACATCCATTCATCCATCATCCATCCATCCATCCATCCATCCATCCATCCATCTATCTATCCATCTATCTATCCATCTATCCATACATTAATCCATCTATCCATTTATCTATCCATAAATCCATCTATCTATCTATCCATCCATCCATCAATCCATCCATTCACCCATCTATCCATATATCTATCCATACATTCATCCATCCATCAATCCATTCATCTGTCCATCCTTCCATCCATCCATCCGTCTATCCATCCATCTGTCCATTCTTCTATCTATCTATCTATCTATCTATCTATCTATAAATCCATCCATTCATCCATCATACATCCATTCATCCATCCATCCATCCATCTATCCATCCATCCATCCATCCATCCATCTATCTATCCATAAATCCATCCATCTATCCATACATTCATCCATCAATCAATCCATTCATCTATCCATCCTTCCATCCATCCATCCATCTGTCCATTCTTCTATCTATCTATCTATCTATCTATCTATCTATCTATCTATCTATCTATCTACCTATCTATCTATCTATCTATCTATCGATTTACTAATGCAGCACTTTACTGTTTGTTTAAATAGCTAATAGCAAAAGATGGTTCTTTAAGGGTTCTTTGGTAAAGGCAATGGTTTTATAAGTAGAACCATGCTTAAATAGCTCTTTTCATGGTGAAATGGTTCTTCAGACTGATAGAGAATGTGTTCTATAGCACCACAAAGGGTTCTGCTATTGGTAAAAGCCTGGCATCGTACACAATAGTAGAACCCTTTTTAGTGCTACATAGAGCAACACGTTCTCCATCAATGTGAAGAACCATCTCACCATGCAAAGAACCATTTAAGCATGAAAATGGTTCTTTGAGTGTTCATGGTTATATATAGGACCACTGTCTTCACTAACAAAACATCTTTTTTAAGAGTGTATCAATATTGTTGCCTTAGCAACAAAACCTAGTATTTCCAAAATGGTAGCTTTACAACAGAAGGAAAAACATTTGTAGCTTTCAGTTGAATTTAATGAAGCAAGTTTTTTATTCTTCATCTTTTTGTTCCATTCATCATGAATTTTAATGCATTGTGTTGTTCAGATTCTGTAGTTTGACCATGTAGCTCTTCTAAAGGCTGTGTGGTGTTTGTGTGGTGCAGGCAGTCAGCAGGATGTTGTTCGTGGAGCGGGTGCGCACGCAGGCCGGGCTGCTGTGGATGACCCACTTCAGCTCAGACGGAGAGGAGAACCTGGGTTTGGTCCAGAGAGATGACCTGAACCGGACCTACAGAGAAAACATCTCACCGTCCAGCTCTCAGAGCGAACACGATGAGGAAGATACAGAAAACACTCAGCCCAGAATCACAACCTGGGAGGCAGGATGGAACGTCACCAACGCTATACAGGTACACACACACACACACACACACGCACACACACACACACACACACACACACACGCACACACACACACACACACACACACTCACACACACGCACACACACACACACACACTCACACACGCACGCACACACACGCACACACACACACACACACACACACTCACACACACGCACACACACGCACACACACACACACACGCACGCACACACGCACACACGCACGCACACACGCACACACACTACCATGTTGGTGTCACTGCTGCGCTGAGAGTGGACCACCACCCAAATAATACAAGGTCGGCGTTTCTAATAAAGTGGCCAGTCAGTGGAAGCACAAATAAAGTGGCCAGCTGGTGGAAACAAAAGGTAGGTGTTTCTAATAAAGTGGCCAGTGAGTGGAAGCACAAGGTGGGTGTTTCTAATAAAGTGGCCAGTGAGTGGAAACAGAATGTAGGTGTTTCTAATAAAGTGGCCAGTCAGTAGAAGCACAAATAAAGTGCCCAGCTGGTGGAAACAGAAAGTAGGTGTTTCTAATAAAGTGGCCAGTGAGTGGAAGCACAAGGTGGGTGTTTATAATAAATTGACCAGTTAGTGGAAGTACAATGTGGATGTTTCCAATAAAGTGACCACTTAGTAAAAGCACAAGGAAGCACTGGGTATTTTTTCTATAAGTTGCCATCAAACAGCTTCCTCCAGTGTCTACTGTAGAGAGTATTATGGGATGTGTTGGAGCAGCGCTGTGTACTGTGCATCTAAATGAACGAGTTCAGTAAAAGGTGATTAACATGCTTCTCGACTGTGTAAACATTTGTTTAGAATGATTAGAGAGGGTGTGTGTGTAGGTGTGAGTGTGTGTGAGTGTGTGTGTGTGTGTGTGTGTGTGTGTGTGTGTGTGTGTGTATTTCTCAACATCCTTTGTTTAATTTAGTGATAATACACTCTCCACCAGGCGCTCTGTGATGATCTGAGCCACATCGCTATGTGTGTGTGTGTGTGTGTGTGTGTGCGTGTGTGTGTGTGTGTGTGTGTGCGTGTGTGTGTGTGTGATTGAGCTCCAAAGTGCCCATTAACACTCAGATCATTAACACCGGTTAACACCTCAGCTCAAAGGAGCTCAGATTCACAGCTGCTCAGTCACTCAGACACCACATTTCATCAAGATCTGCTCCCTAACCTCTCAAAACCAGCCCAACTCGTCTCCAACAGGGGTGGGTAGGAGCTAAAGGTGTAACGAAGACAGGTGTCGACATGTTAATGTAGTGTAATGATAGTTATCTGACCTGATATCATATATTATCACCCTGTCGTATTAAGAAAGAAAGCATTACATGTGTAAGATTATCATAACTGTGTAATTACACATTAACAATACGTGTGGCAACAATGTAACTGCGATGTATTTAATGTTACTTATGCATTACAGTGGTACAGCTTCTGTGAATACAGTTAGGGAAACTTCAGACTTTTACTGGTTCACAGGTCTTGGAGAAGCCTGTGTTTGGTTTCGAGGTGTGATTGAGGGAGTCCTAACTAGCGGGTGGAACTGGAGATGACTAAATTGGGGAGAAAACTGGGGAAAAGTGCAAAGAAAAAAACAATGGTAATGATTTTTTTGGACAGTAGCTGGGGTGACCTTACGAGCAGTGAGCTGACCCTGCATGTGTCCATGCGTGGCTGTGTTTCAGGGCATCTTCGTGCTGGGTTTGCCCTACGCTGTGCTGCAGAGTGGCTACACTGGGCTGCTGCTGCTGGTTCTCTCAGCGCTGCTCTGCTGCTACACTGGCAAAATCCTCATCTCCTGCCTGTACGAGGAAGACGAGGGCGGCCGGTCGCGGCGCGTCCGCCACACTTACGCCGACATCGCTGACGCCTGCTGGTGCCGCCTGTGCCCGCGGCTGGGCGGCAAACTGGTCAACGTGGCCCAGGTGGTGGAGCTGATGATGACCTGCATCCTCTACCTGGTCGTCAGTAGCAACCTGATGGGCCACAGCTTCCCCTTTCTACCGCTGACCCCGGCCACCTGCTCGGCCTTGACCTTTTTGACCCTGATGCCGTGCATGCTAATCCGCGACCTGAAGGTGGTATCGC